TGCTGCCATTGTTGCAAGTAGTGCAGCATTGGCTGATGTATACCACTAAAAAAGTGGTTGTGGGTGGCTGCCACTGAAGAAGTGGTGCAACCACTGAAATTGGATGGGATTGGTTCATGTTTACCACTAAAAAAGTGGTTGCATGAAGCTGCCACTGGAAAAGTAGTGCTGCCTTCGAAATGTTTGGTGTTTGGCACTAAGAAAGTGGCGGTGCTCCTGGAAAAGGAGCTGTGAAGCTGTGAGTAGCTGCAGGGTTTGTTTCTAAAGAAGAAACAAAAGTCCAGAACCTGTTTGGGGAAGCATGCTGGAAAAGCATGTTTTGCATTGATTACCATGGGTGCATGACTAAATCCCTGAAAAAGGGATGCAAGCACCCAACAACTCCTGGAAAAGGAGCTGTGAGAGTGTGAGATGATGTGGGAGTTTCTGGAGAAGAAACTAGACTCCCTGAATTGAAGTTGAGGCTGGAATTGAGGCAAACCATGCTAAAAAAGCATGTATTAGATTTGCTTGAAAATGGCGTATGTTTGATCCCTGAATAAGGGATTTGCACACCACCAAACAGCTCTTAAAGAAGGAATTGGTTCACCTCATTGAAAGGTGTATTTAGGCACAACACTGGACAAGTACTTTAGTCTAGAATTATTGTATTTTGTTTCAGGGGATAGTACTTAGTCCCTTCGGCGTCCCGGTGTGCCGTATGGTGGACCGGTGGGGAATTGACTGGGCGCCAGTCGCACCGGTGCGAGGCGCAGCCCCATGGGTGTGCCGAGGACTTTCCTCCACACTTGAGGGAGGCGCTCAGGCCCGGAGGCGGGTGCGGCGCACGACGAGAAGTGCCGCGCACGGGGCGCGAGCGGCGGCGACCGCCGCACTGCGCCATCCGTGCGGCAGGATTGGCGGGGGCACGGCGGACTTCGAGGCGGCCAAGGAGGCCGCACGGACGGTATTGCATAGCCTGGATGGCCGTGCTTGGGAGGAACAGTGGCGGAGCGCCTCTACCACCCGTGGATGGTGAGTTCTTGCGCACCATGCTGCCGCCGGAGAGGCGGGCTGAGGCGGTCCATTCCGGGGTGCTGGCGCGAGATGGGGCTGGTTTTGGCGAGGATGGCGCTGCACTGGGCTGTCCGTTAGGTGTGCGGAGTGAGGCGGAACGCGGCGCACTGACTTCGGAGAGTGAGGATGGCCTGATGGCGGACTTTGACAATGGAGCAACGGGCCATGGCGAGCTTGGGGACGAAGGAGAGGAGGCCGCCGAGGTTGAGGAGGCCATCGCGACCGGCACGATCAGCTTGGATTGGGCGGAGGTGGAGGGGCTCCTTGTGAAGGAGGAGCCCGTGGAGTTTTGAGCCGGCGCGGCAGCCGGCGAATGAACGGCGAGTGGCGCGGGTGTGGGGACAGGAGCCAGGGTGCACCCCGGGGGGAGAGGCGCAGTCAGGCTGTGCGGAATTGTCACGTGGGTGGGGAAGAGGGTGAAGTGCTTGACAAACTACTGTGAACATCGGACAACCACACCGAGGGGGTCAGTGTCCATTTGAGGGGCTGATGTGAGTGGTTGTGAATGGATTTGGGTGGCCGTGAGTGGACCGTTGCGCAAGGAAATAGGGGTAGTGGTGGCGGACCGCCTGTCTCTTTTTCCGTGGCCGATCGTGTGGTGACCCACCTGGCGTGCCGTGCTGTCGAACGGGAGGACACCCTGTAAGCCCCAATGAGGACCTTTCACTGTAACTCGTGCCTGCCTGCATGACCACCGCGAGTGTGACGTGACAGAACGCCTGCCAACGAGTAGGAGCGCGTGTCGCAAGGCGTGCCAGTGAGCCTGGTGCTGTACAGTGCTGTCATACCCCCACCGTGTCTGTGGGGGTTCCCCTGTTTGTGTGTGTGACTGTGCAAAGGGAAAAGGGTGTGTGTGTGAAGGGGGGGAAGCTGCTGCCTTTCTCTTGTTGCCATCCATTGCATCTGTTGGATCCCAACCTATTTGGTGTGTAGATCGGCAGTGCCTAAGAGCTGATGTTGCAAGCATCAGCCATGTTTTTTCAAAATGTGGTACCTTGCATTTTGAGGACAAGAACTTGTTGGCTATGCCTCACTGTTTGATCATCAAAGTGAATGAACAATGAATGAATTGTGATAGAGTGCATTTGACCTGCCTGCCAACCTGGCCATTTAGTATAATGGCCAAGCATAAGCAATAATGCCCAATTCCAGAATTGTCAGTGTGGCGATGTGTGGTTTTGCTCCCAGTGCGTTGTCATACTTGGGAACACCAGAAAATAATTGCATGTCATTCTTGTCTGTGCATATTTCTCTATCGAAAGCTTTGCAGAACTCAAGACAGCATATACCCATTGGGGCTAGAAACTGTCATTACGCTCAAACCTGTAGTGAGACTTCAAAGGGCAATTACATGGTTTGTTAATGCATTTTTTTATAAATTATGTGGGCAAATATTGTATGGTGTTCATTGTAGGCGTGTTCCGCTTGCCACCAGACATGGAGATGGTCATGCCAAGTAATAATATAACCTCTAACTTTGAAATCATTACACTCGTCGCCATGCAAGAGGGGATGCAATTTGCAATGCGGGAGGGTAGCGGGACAGCAACGTGTTGGCATCATTACAAAGGTGTTAGACTTGGCACAAGGGGTGTCTCTGGCATAATATACCATGACCAATAAAACAATCAAATGTGCTTGGTTTGGCTGGGATCTTGACCATATAGTTGCTATTGCATGCTTATTAATTAGATGCGCAACAACTCCCATACTCAAGTTGTTGTACATTTGCCCAATACTCTTTTATGTGTTGACAACTGTCTCGATTGGAATCGTTGCTGATGGGTCAAGGGCAGCTACATTGTGGAGAGCACAAGTCGCTGCTTTAAGTTGCCGCACGCCAATATCTGGCTTTGTGACCTTATTGCGACATAAAGCGGCCCATCCCCAAATATGCCCTATGCTTTGAGCGTCCCCTGCCAAACCACTTCAGTTGGCCTCATTCAGGCATAGCTGGGCCTGTCTAAAGTTGGTAGAAACGGGAACGGCAACGGTGTCCGTTCCCATCCCAGGGACGGTCCGTTCCTGGGACGGGAACGGTGTCCGTTCCTGCCCCAAGAACGGCCCCGTTCCTGGGTCCGTTCCTGAGTCAGGAACGGCCCCGTTCCAGTCCGTTCCAGTCCGTCCCAAATCCGTCCCAAATCCATCCCAAATCCGTCCCAAATCCGTCCCCAATCTGTCCGGCCCAAGGACGGGGACGGACTCCGGTCCGTCCCCGTTCCCGTTCCCGTCCCCGTTCCTAGTCCGTCCCCGTTCCTGGACGGCCCACCTCTGCATTCGGGGAGGATGATGTTTGAAGCTTGGGGGACACCCGAGATTTTCCGGATATATTATTGCATGGCTTTGAACGTCGAGTTGATATGATGAACAACAACCACCGTTTAGCGAGTCCTCAACGAGTTACTCAACCTACTTCAAGGCGCCCCTGGGTGTATTGGCAGGATAACTGCACAAGCATTGCAAGCACTTTGCCGGAAGCCTTGGCTGTTGCGTTGTTTACTTTGGGGATCGGGATTTGCCAACTGTTAAAAAGTTGACGATTATCAGCTGAAAGACTTCAATGCTGATTGGACGCTGGCAGGAAGGCGTTCCCCGTGACGTGTCCCCTCGGAATTCGCCCTGAAGCTTCCCGTCGATCCAATTTCAAATTTAAAATCCCTTCCCCATATCCCAAAATTCAATTCCCCTCCCAGCCTTCCCCGCCAAAACTCTCATACTCCGCCCCATTAAAACCCCCGCTCTTGCCTGCCCCGCCATTCTTCAGCAGAGCGAGGCCCCAAGCAACTCTTTCAGAGGCAGTCCCCCTGCAACTCCACCCCACGAGCTGAGTGTATTCTTCGGCGGCTGCCGATCGGCGTGCACGTCTCGAGATGTCCGGACGCGGCAAGGGCGGCAAGGGCCTGGGCAAGGGCGGCGCCAAGCGTCACCGCAAGGTCCTGCGGGACAATATTCAGGGCATCACCAAGCCGGCGATCCGGCGCCTGGCGCGGCGGGGCGGCGTGAAGCGCATCAGCGGCCTAATCTACGAGGAGACGCGCGGCGTGCTCAAGGTCTTCCTGGAGAACGTGATCCGGGACGCGGTGACCTACACGGAGCACGCGCGGCGGAAGACGGTGACCGCGATGGACGTCGTCTACGCGCTGAAGCGCCAGGGCCGGACGCTGTACGGATTCGGCGGCTAGGGCGGCTGTCCGGTGGCTTATTGTTTTCTTCTGTTTTGGGAAGGGGATTCTGACGAGGGGGTTCGGGCGCTTGCCCGCGGCATGAGCTCAGGTTCGAGTGGCGGGGTTCGGCGCTTGGTTGTATGAAGCCGGAAAAAAAGAAGAGCAGCGTGAAGGGGTTTGGGATCATCTTCCATGGAAGCCTCCGGGTTTTGTCTGGGATGTGGCGTGTGGGGCGGCCAAGGAATGCGCCCGCGCCGCAAGGAGGAGGAAGGCGCGCGACGTTCGAAATGGGCAAAACTCGCTGGTAACGATGACCGGGGACGGATAGGAGCCGCCCCGCTGGGACCCTGTTTGCACGGTTACTGTAAACTTTGTCGAAGTCGGCGTGCTGTGCGGCTGTGTGCATGGCCCAGACGTCTGGAGGCACGCTGATGAATACATTGCTCTGCGAAAAACCGCCTGGCGAAGGTTAGGACTGAACATTGGTCATCCGAACCTGGACCAGGGCCGGGTGAGCAATCGCCCGATGATTTGGAACAAAAATGCGGACGGGCTCCTGAGGCTGGGGCCCAGTTCTCTGGCAATTTCTGTGATCAGCAGCCCGCTGCCTCTTATCCCACAGGTCAACGAACTCCACCTCGATTAGGGCAGCACCACCCTGTCCTGGGCCAACTGCAGTGCTGTGCGAGCGGAAGGGGCTCCCGGTCGGAGGATTAGGCTCTGGGCGCCTCCTCACCCACTGGTCATTATGGCTCATGGTCGTGCCAGCCCCCAGGCAGGACAGTTGGAAATGTCCTGCTTGCCCACTTGGCAATGCCCGCCTCTTTGCCGCGGCCGTGATCGCAAGTCCCGCCATTCCCAACAGCGCTCCCAACGTTTGTTTTGTTCCCCGCGGTGTTTCGCGTTTCTGCTGGAGCGCAGGCATTGCCTCTGTCCGCTGCCGGAGACTGGTGGCCGTGGCGCGGCACTTTGGGGTCTGCGGGCGCCGAGAGGCAAGGCAGGTGGCGGGTCACGCTGGTGGAGGCCTTTGGTTGCATGGCGGTCCCTGCAGGTACGGGCGCAGCCGCGTGCTTTGCACTCCGTTTCTGGTGTGCTTTCTCTTTCCTTCCAATATGCTGTACCCTGCGCAGCGATTGGTCGGCCAGGCGTCAACGAAAGCGCGAAGCCGGGCAAACACTGCAACGTTTCTTGCGCGTGGGAACGTTGCTTTTGTCTTCATTCCGGAGTACCTGCGCGATGATTGGTTGCCGCTCGGCCCGGTGTCATCGGAAGTGGAAAGCACATCAAATACTGCAACGTTCTTTGGTATGTCAGAAGGATTTTTCTGTCTTCAGCACGTTTTTGCTGGGCTATCTGCTTTCGTCGACACCAGGCCGAGCGGCGACCAATCATCCCGCAGGGTACTTAGGAATGAAAAAGAAAAGACAGAAAATACGTTCCCACGTGCAAAAAAAAACGTTGCCCCCCTTCCTGGTCCGATTACTCATCGTCACGATCGCCGGCACGCCGGACGCCCGGCTCGCCGCGCCGTCCAAGAATTGAACCCCTTGGACCGACGAGATCTGGCGGAGCCCCAGGCAACCCTCCCCAATACTGCACAAAGTACTGGCGGCGGGACCAACGTCAGTCCGAGGTGCTCCGAGGCCGGACCCACGCGGCAGCGACCCGTGCCACATGCGTCAAATTTGGGCGCCGTTTGGGCCGTGTGCGCACAGCCGCTGGGCGCGCAAAGCTGGCAAGCACCCGAAGCGGGCTACCGCAGCAGGAGGACGAGGAACTCAGCGACGGCCGGTTGCTCATCCGCAGGACGGGGCGCGAGGGTGCCAGGTGGGGGCCACGGGGGGCTACTGGCCGGGGATGCGGAATTCGGGGGGGAGAGATTGGGCCGTTGCTGGTTGATGGGGTTGGGGTTGGGGGGCGGGGGTTGGGAGGGGGGGGCCCTCCGCTGGGGGAGATTGCCGCGGTGGTGTTGCTTTAGTGGGGAGAAGTACGGGATCTGGCACCGAGGGGAGGATCTGGCCCGATCTGGCGCGCGGGGCCGCCGCGCGGGGGCCGGCGTCGGCGGTGCGGGGCGGCCACGCGGCGTCACACTCGATGGCTCGCCCGGCGCGGGTGGCTGGCGATGGGGTGTCCAGCGGGGCCGGGGCTCGGCGACGGGGTGACCGATCACCCCGGCGGGGATCGCGATGGGCAGGCGCGCATCGGGCTGAGCGCGGCCCGCTTGAGGTCAACATCCCTTCCTGCGCAACTGCCAAAGTCCGGCCCCCGCTCCAAGGGCGGGGAGGGGCGGGGGGCCGGTCCCCGCCCCTCTCGGGTCGGATCACACCCCCGCTGCCGGGCTCGCAACCCGGGCGGGCGCACTGCCGCGCCAATCGCCCCCCCCGGTCCGCGCGGCTGCGGCGCCAGGAGGCCCCCGCGGATTGCGATGACCGGGGGCCGCGTCGCGGCCCGCGCGACGCGGAGATCTGCCCAGCATCTCCGGCGAGGGGCCGGCCGGGCCGATAGCGCAGCTGCCGTCGCGCGGCGCTGCCTTCCAGGCACGGCATCCTGCACTCCCCCTCCGACTTGGCCACCAGCCGTTCGCAGCCTCCCGCTTGCCGCCGGTGTTCCCGCGCGAGTCGCGACGCAGAAACGCCCTCCCGCGCGGATCTCTCCCCCTCAACCCCCCGTCCCCCGCCGCCCGCGTCTGATTCGCCACCGTTGGAGCCGCCGTCTCGGGGTGTTTCCGCCTATTGCTGGGTCCCAGACTTCCCCCCCAAGCGCCAACTCCCAAGGGCCGCACGACCCCGGATGTCGAAACACAAAACGAACCCGAACGCGCGGCTGGCTGCCTGTTGGCCTGTCCGCATCAGCGGCTGGAGTTCCGCCGGCGGTGAGCGCCCCCGCGGTGAGCACCTCGGTGGGAGGCGTCTCAGTTCGGTGGTCGTGGGTGGCTGGGGTGGGCTGACGTGGCCGATATCCCGGTTTGGGCGCGCCCCCACAGATTTCAGCGCCAGCGGTGGCCTTGCCGATGAGGCGGGGCGCAGGACGGCGTCCAGGGCCTGAAGGTGCTCGCGGAGTGTGGGATCGAGATTCCCGGCTCCAGGGCGGGCTGTCCGAGAGGGGCTGGCTCCGGACTGGCCGTGGCCAGCGCGATGGGCGCCTGCGGAGCAGCAATTTATGGGCCAGGGATTTTGCAATTTGGTGCGCAGGCAGTGGGTTTTTCCCGAAGAACGGAAAGGCGTCCACTTCTGGGGTTGGAGGCAGACGTGCCGCGAACCGCCCGCGTCGCTCGAGCTTGATCGGATCCTTCCCGGTGGCGACGCGCGGAGGCGGCGCGTGCCTGAGCAGTCTCGAAGTCGTTCATTGCGCCATCGCTTGGTGGCAATGTTTTGAGACTGTGACGTTGGCCACGCCTCGCACAAAGGGCGCGCGTTGGCGCATTTCCAGCGCCCTGGGCCCGTTGGGGCTGCAGCCTGTGCTCGGAGTTAGCGGTTGGCTTTCCTGGCAGTGGGACGATGGGTTGCGGGCGCACGTGGCGGGACCGCCACCCACTGCACCGATGCCTCCTCCGCATCGCGGCGATGGACTGGAATGCTTCGGCCGCCGCGTTTTGGTGGCGCAAGTTGCAGTTTCGGCATCAGTTCTTCTGCGTTCGGGGCACTTGGCATTCAGTAGCGCACGCAGTAGAGGCTTGGGAACCCCACTGGCTGGAGAGGGTTTAGGATTTCCCTCTGCAGCATTTAAGACTTGGTGTTTGGCGGTCATCCGAGGGTATTCGAACGACGATTCGTCGTCCCTGAGCTTTTAGTCCGATGAGCTGGCTGTGCTGCGTGGTCTTATCTTTTCCAGGCATTGTGGGCAACGATGCTTGCCACCTGCCAATGCAGCCATCAGCAAACTAGCACTGGCGACCAGCGCATAGGTAACTTGTTGCCTATCGTGTTCCATGGCAGCAAGCAACAGAGTAGGGAGGGTACAAGTAAGGGGATGACCTGAGCCACTGTAGCAGGTACTTTTAGAAGCAGGATGTATAGCAAGGGTGCAGTTGCCGCTGCAAGGTAGCAACACATTCTTCAGGAACTGACCATCTTGAGAATCAACTGCACACTCTTGTTGAGTGTCAGCAAAAAGTGCAACACCTCAAAGCAGCACCCGAAATAGCGTCGTTGCTCCTGGGCCTGATTGTACTTTGCACAAGGTTGTAATATCTTGACCCCAAAGCAGCTGGCCCTAAAATACTGCCAAATAAGTGAACACAATAAAGCAACGTGGAAAATGAAAATCTAGCGGTGGCCCATGCCTTCACTGAGTTCAGATCATCAGGTAGTCAGTCTTGCTGGGGCAATCACTACTCAATTTCAAAGTCATCGCATGTCCCGTGCCTGCGTCCACAGACTCACCATCTCCAGAACGCAGCCCTGAACCGAAACTGCAGCCCCAGCAATACCTGGGCCTAAGCCAAGCTGCCAATCTTGCAAGCAACCTGCACACAATGCCACATCGATGTTTTTTGGTGTTCTCTGGGTTTATGCCTGCTCAGAATGGTACCAATGTGCCATCCATACCATAGTCAGTTCTCTTTGGGCCCTCCTCAGGGAACAAAGCCTGGAAGATCCTATAGTTCACAAAATCGCCTTGTATTTGCCTGGGTATGTTTTCATCAATCGCCGCAAATGCGAGCACACTCATGGGTTGGTGACAATGCTAACAAGTTGGCGGGCGCCATCTGTTCGTAGATCACACACCGGTCGGTGAACACAAGGGAGTAAGAAAGTGGCCCACCCAGGTGGCTGTTAAGGCCAGGGCAGGCATGCAGGAGTCATTCCTGCAGGCCGTGGAGGTGTCGGATGGCCAGATCATGGTCAACGATGACCGCACGAGTGAGGAGGTGAGTATCAGGTGGATATGCAGATCACGATGTACTGCGGCGAGTAGCATGACGTCAGGCTAAGCAAAGGCACGTTCAGCAACACTGCAACACAGTAAGGTGCACTCAGCCACTGGAGTATGTTCAGGAAAATGAGGTCAAATTGAGC